CAAAGAAACATAGGTCCCATGGTTTCCCTTATTTACAATAACTAGTATATGTCTAGGACAAGCAGAATAGGTCAAAAGCTAGGTACGTATGGCCATATAACCTGATGCTAAGTGAAATGAACCCCAAGAGAGGGACACAAGAGATTTTATCTTTCTTGTTGTTCTTTTTAATGTACTAATAACATACTGTGTGATTTTTTTGTTTCTTTTGTATGTTCTTCCCCCATGGTACAACCCCTGTTGTCACTGTATTTGATTCTGGTGCCCTACACCTTGTATATACATTTTTCTAATTTGGAGAGGAGAAGGAAAATAACAAAATGCTGAAATAAGGATACAGGATGAACCATTGTAACAATGAGATATACAAGACATTATGTTGAAAATCAACTTTATAACTTTGCCTGGGGGTGGGAGGAGGTGGGGAGGGAAGGGATAGTAGGGAAAAAACAAAGGAGGGGGCAACAATGCTTGATAGGAAACGGATTTATTACCTTGCTCATGTAACTGTAACCCCTTTCTACAGTATCTTTACAATAAAAATATATATTAAAAAAGAATTCCTGCTGTCTTTAGATATCCATTCCCTGTATAATATCTAATTGCTTTAGCTATACTACATTATTAATGTGCACACACACATACATAATAGTGATTATTCAAGTACTCAATAAGTAAACAAACCCAAAACAAATGCAATAAAAATTTTTCTGCTCCAGACTTTTGTTGATTCCACACCTCCTATATCCTTTGACCCAACAGACTAGGGTTCAGCCTAAACTAGAGGAGTTTTTTTTCTGAACATGTGACAGTCTGTTCTGGTCCTAACGACAATTAGCCATTTTTTTGTGTATTCTTCCTTTTGCCTAACAGATGAAGTGGATTAGTCCAAGCAAAGGTTTTTGTACTAAATGACTAACTTTTACTGTTTCTTAGAATTTGGTTTCTACTAATGACATAGATCTGTGGTATAGACCACATTTTTTCTTATTGAATGTTTTAAATGCATTTTGAACACCACAATTTTTAAGACAATGAAATAGTGGTTCATTTCCCATACTGGAGATATTTTTCTTAGTCCTATGACCCTAGACCAATTTCCTAGAATGTATTGTAGATGATTATATAGACTGGGAAAAAAAGACATTTCTACATTTTTTTTTGTCCATCTTGGGGCTTGAACTCTGGGCTTGGGCACCGTCCCTCAGCTCTTTAGCTCAAGGCAAGCACTCTACCACTTGAGCCACAGTGCCACTTCCAGTTTTCTGAGTGGTTTATTGGAGATAAGAGTCTCATGGACTTTCCTGCCCAGCTGGCTTTGAACTGCAATCCTCAGATCTCAGCCTCCTGAGTAGCTAGGATTACAGGCATGAGCCACTGACGCCCACTGACATTTCTATTTTCTAAGTGTCTAGTACACTGGGAGCTGGTTGACTTCGGAAAAGGCTATCAAATTATTTGGGTCTTCATTTCTTATCCTTGAGCAAAGGAATAAGATACTATGGAGCAAGGTGATTATGTGTTTGTATTGTAACTCACCTGCCTCATTTGGCAGATATAAAGCCACTCCAGGACTGAAGCACTTGGTCTTTTCCCTTGATCTCTGTGGGGTTCTAGCACCCTCCCAAGTCTTTATGAGACATATGCTCCCAATGAATGAGTTGGGACATGACCTAAAACTTGTTTTCCAGCTTGGAGCTCTTCCAACTCTACAAAATTCATATTTCTTTTTAATCCCAGAAGATTTTTTTCCTAGCATATTATCCAACTTTTCAAGTCAACTATTTCTACTTGTTGATACCTGAATATTACCTGCATAGAAAATATGTTTCAACAGGGGACTAAAGCTCAACAAGCAGATTGGAAATTTTGAAGAAGTT